CCCCCCCCCCCCCCCCATTTTGAAGCACAGGAACACTAATATATGAGATGCTGCGGTGCTTTAATTAGAGTGGCTCTCAGAGCCTTTCTAATTAAAACACCCCCCACCCCCAAGCACCTATAATAGTGTCCTCTGTTCTCAGCAAGTCCTTTCAAAGCATTAGCCTACAAAAAGTCATGCATCTCTTAAAGGAGTTAACCTGTAAGGTGCCACCCTGTCCTGCCTTCTGTCTAACTTCAGACTAACAGGGCTATTTCTTTTTTCCTTGCTATATTATAGCATCCACCCCACCAATAAATAACTTTCTTAAGCAGATTAGCCTTGTTGCTCTGGCCTGTGATACACCGTATTGTCTGACTGTATTTTACAGTCACTTTTGCCAAGGTGGAGATCCTAATCTATCCTTTTTTAATTCATGGGGAATTTTGAATTTACATCAGAAAATGCATCAATAAAACATCAGTAGATTCAGCTCTTGTGAATTGCTTACTTTTATAGCATTGGGGTTGAAGTCAGGGTGAATAAAAAGCAACGATTTTTTCTAAATCAGATTTTTTAATTTAAATCAGATATTTTTGGATATAATCATTTTTTATTAAGATGCTTTTAAAAACCCCATATAAAGATAGGGTTAATTTAGATATGTTAAAGCTCAAATATATTATTATGGAATATGGATTATAACATTTGGCTACGTACTATTTGAGACAATATATTCATATCACTTTTTTAGAAACATTTTATAAATGGGTTACAACAGGGGCCCAATCTTATGGGGTTCCCAGAGGCTCCTCTATAGATTAGTAAAGATTAAAGAAAGCCACTCAACCCAATGGGACTCAGTGCTCAGTCTAGAAGATCCCATTAAGCATCTCTGTGATGCTTAGTTTCAGTTCTCAAACTATGGATTTGTATCTCCAGAGATAACATCCTTGTTAACAGCAGTATATGGAGCTGAGAGATAACAGATCATCAGTCCTCTTGTTTCTCTGCAAGTTTGAGTACACACAGTCAAGCCCTTACCTCTCTCTGATAGTGCAGTTTCAAGAAGTTAAATGAATAGAAGATTGTTGGGGATGGAGTACATCTGGGCAAGGAGGTAGAGTCTGGAGATAAATGCAAGAAGGGAAGGACAGTAGAAACAAAAGAGAAACATTTGAGCAGAATATTCTACGAGTCTTAAGGGATAAGTTTCTGAGTATAGCCTCTCCAATGATTTGAGATCTAGTGAGGGAATGGTATGGTAGAAGGGAAAACCTGTCATGATAGCAGGCTTGCCAGGCTGTAAAAGACAGACGAAATCAAAGATAAGAAGAAAGCCCCAAGCTAATAACATGGCTGCAGTGCTTATTTGATGTTCTCCTAATACACTGTAGCAAAAATATCCCCCAAATATCCATGTTTAATCTAGCAAATTGGAGATAGTTCACCTCCCAATGGCTTCACAAGTATCTGCTTCAATCAGCTTTGGTAAATAAAATAACCAAATCATAATTCAGTTTTCTGATGTAGCTGCAAAGTTAATCTGAAAAAAATCAAAATAAATCACTACTTTACAATGTATAGTGTGTACTTACTAAAAATGACCTACACCTATCTCTGAGTTGTGAAAATATGTATTAAAGTTGTATCAGACAACAAGAATGCACTTTTTGTAGAAAACAATGCTTAAATTGAGGCTTCTTGACCAGTGCTTTAATTCATAATTTAAATTGATTTGATTTCAATTTGATCCATCCTGGTTGAAGTTAAATAACAGTTGAAATAATACAATATTATGAAGAGGAAAGAGGGAGAAAGGAGTTATTTATGTTAGAATTTACCAGTATTAAAACATGTTTTAGTTGATGTAGTGAACTGTTCTTAACTAATATAAGGCTTAATATGTTAAGCTCCCAAAATCAGGAGCAGCATAGCAAAGGACATCAGGTAATTGAAATACAGATTATAAATCAGGTACATTTGTGTTTGGTATAAAGCCTTTATCAACATTTTTGTATAAATCAAAATTGGTGAATAACAAATCTAGCAAATGTTGCTATGTAACAATATTTCATTTTTTACAACTGAGGTTTTAGAACAAAGCTATATCTTTATGCTTTAGACACGCTACCTGGAAGACTTTCCATATGAATGCAGAGGTCTGCTCTCATGGAGTTCTTTATGTACAATGGATGGATTTCATTGACAGATTTCATAGGTCAGACTTTTACTATCCAGTCCTCCATTGTTTAAGTTAACAGATGATTTGTTGCTTTGTATTCAATAGAAATAAAGATAGACCCTTACTCTGCAAGTGGCTTCCTATAAAGAGGTATATTTGTGAGCATTAACCTGAAAAATAACATACGCAGTGAGTTAGCATTTATTCATATGAATGGGCATTGAGTAGTGGGATTGTACATGCAAGTTACTTACCTGAATATGTTTTTGCATTACTAAGCCCTGTGTTACAATAGTCACATTTTAAATAATATGGTGAGAGGTGAGGCTTTTTCTTTTCTGGACCGGCTGGGAGATGTATAGTTCATCCAGTAAATGATATTACAAAAAATCAGTGATCTTTCTTACACTTCCTGGACCATCATAGATACAATACTCCAACCCTACTACAATATATTAATATTTTGATCTTACTGTTTTATCTAAACATAAAGGGCACCTATACACATGCTCTAACATGTGCTAATTAGCATATGCCGGAGCAGACTCAATTAATCGAATCCGCTGGAGTGTGCTAATTAATGTAATCCAGCAGCCTCCATATTATGTCTGTTCAGGGTCCCCACACTTCAAAATGGCAGCAGAGGCACTTGAACTAAAGCTTGATGAATGAACTTTAGTTCAAGCGCCCCCACCCTATTTTGAAGTGCGGGACACTGAATACTCATGACGCTGTGGGCTTTTTAATTAGAGTGGTTCTGGAAACTGCTCGGATTAAAGCACCTCCACCCTAGCCATGTGTATAGATGCCCTAGAACACTAGAAGATTTATTGGAACATAGTACCTTTTACATACAAAATTATGAAAGCAGAAAGTTGCTGAAGGCTGCTGTTTTTTGTATCCTTTTGTATTTTACAAATCTAAAATTTCCATTTCTTTCCATGTTAAGTTTAAGTCAGATTTCATATATTTAAAATATTTGAAATATTTCTATCATCTCTCCATTTTTACTTTCTTGATTAGTTTTCTTTGATTTTCAGTTAAGTGTATTAAATGTGGGCCAGTGTCTGATCTTTAGCCAGGCGTATTTTTACAAGCTAAGGGTCCTTGTGCAAACTGGTGAGTAGTTATTCATATGGACAGACCACTGGGTGCGTTCAAATGAGCATGGATATGTGGTACGTGGCACCAGAGACCCATCTGCAGCACCATGCACCGCACATGCAGGCATTCCCTGTGCTGCTACTTTGAAGTCTGGGGGTGGCAGGTGCTGACCCCGGGAGATCAAAATATTTTTAAAAAATTATTCTAGCTGACAGCTCACTAAACTTTGAATTATTTATAATAGTACAACGTTAAGTAGAATCCAGTTATTCTATTTCCTGATGGCTTGATTTACATTGAGAAGTATTATGCTTCTTGAGTAGTCCCATGGAAATCAGTAAGACTATTTAAGGTTTAAAGTACAAGAATGAGCCTGATCCAAAACCTATTGAAATCAAATAGCTTGATTAAGCCTACTATAAGCAAGGGTGGCAGAAACTGACCCTACTGTTGATAAAGAATGTATTAAGAGTTAAATATACCTATGGCAGAAGACCTTTGGTGTTTGCCACTTTAAGGCTTGAGAGCAGGCAGCAGAGTGGCCTGCATTTGTGGGCTTGCCCTAATTAGGCAGTCACAGGACTCCAGCAGTGTCCTGAGGTTGAAGGAGGGGGCTAAGCAGCCTCCATTTTTGATCTAGGCCCTCAGGGCTGAGCCAGCAGTTTGCTGTTGACAGCTGGAGGAATACCACCCTGCTGAGCTGCTGCTCAGAACATCTTGGAGGTAAGGGCAGAAGCTATGGGGATGTTAGGAGGCTCCTGCTCCTGGGTTCGATCTAAAACCGCACCCTGCAGGGGAAGGATGACTTGGGACTACCCGTGGCGGGGTAGTTCACCAAAAATGCCAGGCCAGTTGGCTTCCCAATGAAAGGTGAATAGGGGCACCTTATAACCCAAGCTCCCACTACCTGGTAGGTTATTTAGAGACCAGACATGGGGGGGGAGGGGGGAAGCAGGTACGTCTCCGGGCACCTGGGCCCCATGGGTTGAGTTCCTGTAGCTTGCAGAGAGGAAGGCTCAGGACAAGCCAAATGAGGAGTCATGGTGGTATAAGACCCCGGTAGCCACACTGAGGGGGCAGAAAGAGAAGCCACAGGAAGGGGGCAGAGAGTGACCCAGAGAAGGGCCAGTGGCAGAGTTCAACCCAGTGTTGGGCAGAAGGCTGGTGGCCATGAAGAGTAGGGCTGAGTGTGTACCATCTAGAGTGTGCGAGCAAAGGAGCCTGAAGGGCCATGTAGAGTAGGGCCCAAGTGAGGACCTGAAGGGCTGCGCGGAGTAGGGCAGGATGTGTGAGGCCCAGTGAGGGGCAGTATGAAAGAGGCCCTGTGAGAGGGGGTGGAGTGGAAGAGGCCCTGTGAGAGGAGGCGATATGTATGAGGCCTGAGAAGGGCAGAGTGTTAGAGGCCCAGCAAGTGGCAGAATTTGGCCTGGCCTTAGGCTGGAGCAGATATCAACTCAGGATACCATCTGCGAGGCATGGGACATGGCGTAGGGACGGTACAGAGCCGTATATTGGCATCAAGGCATTAAAATGGGCAGCCTCCTGCATTTTACATCAGTTCATTAAACAGCAAGTTGTGGCGATGAGACTGGGTGGACTGCCCTGGAGACAGGTGAGTGGGTCAATGTTGAGACCTGGCTCTGAGTTGGCCTTCTGTCACAGTACCTTTTTATAGAAATGAAGGATAAGGATCAGCTATAATTGAAGTTATAGCTGGAAAAGTAACTTTAACTATAAATTAAATGCAATGTTATGGTTTGAATTTAACTGCATAAAAGTGAGGAAATTATGCTTATACTATGGGCTACAGTACACTGAGATTTAATTAAAATAGTTAAATTCATATCGGGCGTGTCTGCACATGTAAATGCTCTGGGGTGGGTTTACCCTAGAGTAAATTACTCTAGAGTAACTCACCCCAGGCAGGTGTTTACGTGTGCAGGGATGTGGGAGCAGATTTGCTGCTCCTGGCAGCAGTCTGCCTCTGCTGCCTCTGGCCCTGCAGCAGCCAGGAAGAAGCTTTAGGCTCACCATGGGTGCTAGCCCAGGGGTTGAAAGGGAGCACAGGGTCAGAGGACAGTTGTCTCCTGATGGGGGCTGGGAGATTGCTCCCTGCTCCCTGGAGCTGCCTGCTGCTGGGGTGGACTCCGCCACTGGAGCCTGGACGAGGACAATGCCCCTTTACCCTAGCAGCAGGAAATGCCTGGCCCCAGCTTCCCCAATCAGGGGCAGGAGGCTTGCAAAGAGCTGCAGGAGAGGAGCAGGTCACAGCCCACTGCCATGATCTGTCAGTGGGGCATTTAGCAGTGTTCTTTTCAAGCCTTGATTGGGCCAGACCAGGACAGTCCCTGGCCACCCCCAGACCTGGCTGGGGACTGTGCGAAATGGAATAGTCCCCAGCCAACTCCAGGCTGCACTTGCAGACTTCCCTGCATAGGCCAGGGGTGGTTGGGAATTGTCCCAGTCGGCGGCAGGTCCCAGTTAGCTTCAAGCTGAGCAGGGAGCTCTCCCCGTGTGGGGAGCTCCCAGCCCCTGCCCTGCAATCGCAGGGTGGGGGTTCAGTGTCCTGAGGTTGAAGGAGGGGGCTAAGCAGCCTCCATTTTTGATCTAGGCCCTCAGGGCTGAGCCAGCAGTTTGCTGTTGACAGCTGGAGGAATACCACCCTGCTGAGCTGCTGCTCAGAACATCTTGGAGGTAAGGGCAGAAGCTATGGGGATGTTAGGAGGCTCCTGCTCCTGGGTTCGATCTAAAACCGCACCCTGCAGGGGAAGGATGACTTGGGACTACCCGTGGCGGGGTAGTTCACCAAAAATGCCAGGCCAGTTGGCTTCCCAATGAAAGGTGAATAGGGGCACCTTATAACCCAAGCTCCCACTACCTGGTAGGTTATTTAGAGACCAGACATGGGGGGGGAGGGGGGAAGCAGGTACGTCTCCGGGCACCTGGGCCCCATGGGTTGAGTTCCTGTAGCTTGCAGAGAGGAAGGCTCAGGACAAGCCAAATGAGGAGTCATGGTGGTATAAGACCCCGGTAGCCACACTGAGGGGGCAGAAAGAGAAGCCACAGGAAGGGGGCAGAGAGTGACCCAGAGAAGGGCCAGTGGCAGAGTTCAACCCAGTGTTGGGCAGAAGGCTGGTGGCCATGAAGAGTAGGGCTGAGTGTGTACCATCTAGAGTGTGCGAGCAAAGGAGCCTGAAGGGCCATGTAGAGTAGGGCCCAAGTGAGGACCTGAAGGGCTGCGCGGAGTAGGGCAGGATGTGTGAGGCCCAGTGAGGGGCAGTATGAAAGAGGCCCTGTGAGAGGGGGTGGAGTGGAAGAGGCCCTGTGAGAGGAGGCGATATGTATGAGGCCTGAGAAGGGCAGAGTGTTAGAGGCCCAGCAAGTGGCAGAATTTGGCCTGGCCTTAGGCTGGAGCAGATATCAACTCAGGATACCATCTGCGAGGCATGGGACATGGCGTAGGGACGGTACAGAGCCGTATATTGGCATCAAGGCATTAAAATGGGCAGCCTCCTGCATTTTACATCAGTTCATTAAACAGCAAGTTGTGGCGATGAGACTGGGTGGACTGCCCTGGAGACAGGTGAGTGGGTCAATGTTGAGACCTGGCTCTGAGTTGGCCTTCTGTCACAGTACCTTTTTATAGAAATGAAGGATAAGGATCAGCTATAATTGAAGTTATAGCTGGAAAAGTAACTTTAACTATAAATTAAATGCAATGTTATGGTTTGAATTTAACTGCATAAAAGTGAGGAAATTATGCTTATACTATGGGCTACAGTACACTGAGATTTAATTAAAATAGTTAAATTCATATCGGGCGTGTCTGCACATGTAAATGCTCTGGGGTGGGTTTACCCTAGAGTAAATTACTCTAGAGTAACTCACCCCAGGCAGGTGTTTACGTGTGCAGGGATGTGGGAGCAGAATTG